ACCTACGCCAATTTTCTTAAGTGTTCTTGTTAGAAAATGATGCTGAATTTTGTCAAATGCTTTTTCTGCATCTATTGAGAGGATCACATGGTCTTTGTTTTTGCTTCTATTGATGTAGTGAATTACATTTATTGATTTGCATATGTTACGTCAGCCTTGCATTCGCTGGATGAAGCTTACTTGATTGTGTATAAGTTTTTAAATGTGTAGCTGCAATCTACTAGCCTAGATTTTTATTTTTGAGACAGTCTGACTTTGTCACCCTCAGTAGAGTGCTGTGTCATCATAGCTTACAGCAACCTTAAACTCTTGGATTCAAGCAATTTTCTTGCCTCAGTCTCCCAAGTAGCTGGGACTACAGGCACCCACCACAATGAATGACTATTGTTAGAGATGAGGTCTTGTTCTGGCTCCGGCTGGTTTTGAACTTGTGAGCTCAGGCCATCCACCCACCTTGGCCTCCCAGAATGCTAGGATTACCACAGAGCCTGGCCTTTAGCCAAGAATTTGTTAAGTACTTTTTCATTAATATTCATTAGTGAAATTGGTCTGTAGTTCTCCTTTTTAGTTGAGTCCTTTCCTGGTTTTGGAATCAGGGTGATGTTTGCTTCATAGAAGGTGTTGGGAGAGCTTCTTCATTCTCTTGCATAATAGTAGTAGTTTTTCTTCATTAAACATGATGTTAGTTGTAGGTTTGTGATAGATGCCCTATAACAAGTTGAAAAAAATTCCTTTTTTAGTTTGTTGAGTGTTTTTATCATCTAAGAGTGTTGAATTTTGTCAAATGCTTTTGCTGCATCTGTTGAGATGATAATGTGTTTTTTTCTCCTTTATGCTATTAATATGGTGTATTGTATTGATTAACTTTCCTATGTTGAGCCAACACTGCATTCTGGGGATAAATCCTACTTAGTCATGGAGTATAATTTTTTGATATGCTGTACTCAATTTGTTAGTGTTTCATTGAGGATTTTTGCATCTATATTTATAATGGATATCTACCAGTAGTGTTATTTTTTTCCTGTGAGGTTTTTTGCCTGGTTTGGTGATAAGGTTCTTCACAAGTAATTGTATGCAAGCTGAGATGGCACAGCTGGTCTGGCCAGTTTAGGTCCTAAGTCCTAAGGAAAAACAAAAAGAATATGCGTACAGGTTTTCATAATAGCACTGAAGATAAAGTTTGACAAATACAAAAAGGACTGTGGTATCCTAAGAATAAATTGTCCTGTTGGTAGAGAAGGTCACCAAAGGAATCAGCATGGAAATGAGACTTTTGACTCAGTCTCAATAAAATTAAAAGAAACCAGAGGTTGCAAGTCACAAGGATACTTGAAGAGAGGCCTTAAGAGATAATAACTTGTTGGGAGAAGGAATTTGACAACTTCAAATATAGGCAATTCCCAGGTTAGGAATGAGATAGGTTCTATAGGTTTGTTCTTAAGTTGAATTTGTACATAAGTTGGAATAGGTACATTCACCTATTACCTGTAATAGCCTCCATTCATAAGAGCAAGTTAGATGTAAGTTGGATGTTTGTAACTCAGGGACCACTTGTACTGGACTGTTTATTGAATTCCTCAGGAAAATAAGAAAATGAGGACTAGAGAATACAGTCATGCACCACATAATGATGTTTAGGTCAACAACAGACCACAAATAGGATGGTGGACCCACAAAATTATAATATTGTATTGTTACTGTACCTTTCCTGTGTTTAGATCCATAAATACCACTGGGTTACAGTCGCCTACAGTTCGGGACAGTAACATGCTGTGCAGTTTTGTAGCCCAGGAGCAATAAGTAGGCTGTACCATATAGCCCAGGAGTGTAGTAGGCTGTACCTTCTAGGTTGGTGTAAGTACACTTTATGGTGTTTGCATGACAATGAAATTGCCTAATGACTCAATTCTCTGAACACATCCTTTAAGTGACACAAGACTGTATTTACATTCTGTTAACCTCAGGTATACAAAGTGACCAAACAATTGGAGAAAGACTTTATCCAAATTTAAATGCAGGAGCTGTCTCTAGTATAATAGTGCTTAATCAGCTTCTAGGGATGTTTAAGTCTAAGGAGAAATCATTCTTGGATTATTTAATTCAAAGTTTCCTCTTAATCTTTCAGGAACTTAACCCTCAACACAAAGGATATGTGAAGACACAAAAACATAGAAAGGGTGGGTATTAGCCATTATTTAAAAATGGAATATATTTGTTGTAAGAAAAGGGCTTCGTTCACTTAAATGAGTTGCATTAAACTGACTCATTGTTACAGAAATCAGGTAGGTTCCTCTCTGAGTCAGAAAATTTCAAAACCTGTCTGTAATTTCTCTCCTGTGAGCCCAGAAGATTTCCATCTAAGCCCGTTTGAAGCCTGGTTTCTGACATTATTTATAAAACAAAGAATAGAATAAACTTCAGTAAATTCTTAACTACAATGTTCTCTGTAGAGGGTAATAACATGCCTTAAATTTCTTTATTATTTGCAATATTGTATAAACCG